ATCAGGAAACAGGAACGGGAGGAAAAGACGGCCAAGAGAGACAGTAGCGGGAGTAGAGTAGCGGGCCTTAATCGCAGTGAGGTACGCAGCAGCGGTGCGAACCTGAGTGAAGTGGACCTCCTCTGACTCAGGGAGGAGGCTGCTGAGTGCGATGCAGGCCGCAGCGTCACGCGACGTCCAAGCCGTCCTGTCAGCGCGCTGACGGGCAAAGCGAGCCGTAGCAGCATCGTCAGGGGCAGGACCTAAAGCGGCAGGCTCGGGGGGCTCGGGGAGGTCACCAGTAGCGTGCGACCAGAGGGTCTCGCCCCCCTGGACTTGACTCTCTAACAGACGGCGAGCGCGAAGAAGCCAGACGGAAAAGTCAAGAGGTCTACCGTCAGCGTCGAAACGAAGAACTCGCGGAGTCGCCATAGCGAGAACTAACGCGAACGAGCAGGCGAGTAACAGCAGGAGGTAAGAGGCAAATTAGGGTTCAGGTGGGGGGGGGGGGGACTTAGTCGCAGCGGAAGAACGGGCTAGGGCGACGGGCCAGGGCGTAGGGTCGACGGGACGGGGGAAAGGGCGGGCGCGATGCGACGGGGCAGGGCGACGCGACGGGGCAGGGCGACGCGACGGGGCAGGGCGACGGGACGGGGAAGGGCGACGCGACGGGGCAGGGCGACGCGACGGGGCAGGGCGACGGGACGGGGAAGGGCGACGCGACGGGGCAGGGCGACGCGACGGGGCAGGGCGACGCGACGGGGCAGGGCGACGTGACGGGGGGAAAGGGCGCGACGCGACGGGGGGAAAGGGCGCGACGCGACGGGGGGAAAGAGCGCGACGCGACGGGGGGAAAAGGGCGCGACGCGACGGGGGGAAAGGGCGCGACGCGACGGGGGGAAAGGGACGCGACGAGGGGGAAAGGGCGGGCAGGACGCGACGCTAGGAGTGGCGCTAGGCGCGGCACTACGCGCGGTAACAACGGAACCGGGACGAATGAGAGCTAGGATCAGGCTCGGGAGGCTCGAACGGAGAACGGAGGAACGGGATCCCACAGGATCCTAACCTAACTGATACCATGTCAAAATGAAGAATGGATGATGCATTGATGTTGGTTGGGGTACATATAGCTAACCCTAAGTTTTGTACCCCCTAAGACAAACCTCACTATAGGCTACAACATTTGACACATAGAGCTATCATCACGCTACATGGGATGGTTGATTGGGGCATTACTAGGATTATTCTTATTGTTAAGAGATTTCTTCATTACAGATGCAGCATATTTTTTTTGTCAAATTTGCATATTCAAGTGTTGTGCTTCTGCAATGAATCATTTGCTAAAACTGTATTTATTGTTGAAAGGTTCCTTGTTCATGTAAGCACTATATTTGTTATATCACAAAGAAATTCAGCTGTTATGTGTGTATCGCGAAACTTTTTATGGAGGAACAATTGTTGCGATCCGCTCTTGGTTGCCTGTGATCGATCTCCATTGTTGCCGGAGCCAATACCAGCCTCCAGCGTGGCCACCTCTCAACCCGCTCCAAAAATCTCGCGACTCAAATTCACGATGTTTCCAATAACCGCCACGTCATTCCGGTTACCACTCCCAGCATGACCCAATGATGGACGTGTCGCGGACCAGTATTTCCGTGCACAACAGACATTGACTTGTCCTTGAGACTAGGAACCAGCTGTGTGCATGAATCTTAGAAGCCTGTCGCGATTCGCGAGCAAGTTAGTCTGTTGAAAGCACTGAATGAGCAACAGACGAGCTTTCTCGTGATTGCAACTTCCTCATGCTTTTGCGCTGTCAATTTCTCGACGGTTTGAAAATACCGTATTCGGCGTGCTTCACAAGTTGTCGGGACCAAGTATAAGGACGGTAGTAAAGCTCATTGCTGTACACCTGAAAATCCTGAATAGCGCCGGTTGAGTTGTGGAAGATGCTCGCCGTGCAAGCACAGCATCCCCACTGCGCCCCCTGCTTGTTTCGCTCAGATGAGTTTCGCCAAACTTCGTCGCGCCAAACTTTCCGTTGCGAAATCTCGTCTCGCCGTTATTCGGTAGCAGTATCTTGGTGTCCGTCCAGCCACCTGCGGTTGCACATCAGAAATCCGCGCACCGACAATGCAGCTGCGTCGAATCTTCCTCGTCATAGCAGGCGTTTCCTGACACGCGCATCGCGATCGGGCGACGCGCAGACACCCGGTGAAAGTGCATTGAAGGCCATTAGGGATGCCGCGGGGGCTAAAAGCGGAGCGGCCGGCGATAAACCCGGCGGAGATGCCGGTAGTAGCAGCAGCAGCAACGCAGCGCAATCGGCGCTAGAACGCGCATTAGCGTATAAGGCAAAGAGACAGCAGCAGCAGCAGCAACAGCAGTCAGGAGGGACCGCAATCGCCGCGACAACACCTGCTGACGTCAATGCTACCGCTTCCGGCGGTGGTAACGCCTCGAGCAGTAGCAGTGGCGGATGACTTTTGAGTCGACTCAAAAGTCTGGCGCAACTGTTGCTGCTGTTACCAGCAGCGAAACCAGTGGTATCACCACAAGCAGCACTGTTACCACTGGTAACCCGACCAGCAGCGGCGTGCGATCGTACGCCGATCAGGTGGCGGAAATGGCGGCAGCTCTGGCAGCGCGGGAAGCGGAGCAGGGGAAAGCGCAGCAGCAGCAGGGGGACGCGGAGGGGAAGGGGAAGGTGAAGGGGGAGGCGAAGGGGGAGGGAAAGGAGGAGGGAGAGGATCCGGATATTATCGAGGTGGAGATAGTAACGAGGGACGGAGTGATTAAAAGGAGGACTAAGCGGTCCGAGATGGAGTGGGGAGGGGCCACCGGCGGCAAGAGCGCCGCCAGACCCGGCGGAATCGGCGGCGGGATCGGCGGCGGTATTGGCGGCGGGGGAATGGGCGGCGGAATGATGGGAAATCCCGGGGTAGCCGGGGCGCGCGCGCGCAGCGCGTCGAGTCTGTCGGTTTCCGGCGCGGATTTCCTGGGTTTGGGGTTTCAGGAGGAGCGGGAGAAGCAGCAGGGACGGGGGAAGGGCCCGCTGCCAGCTGGGCTGCAGGCTGACGTGGATTTCGACCCGGCCACGTCAGCAGGGGGTCTCCCGCAAGTGGAGATGATTGTCGGGTCGCGTGTGATTACAAAGAGGGGGGAGGCGCCGGGGGAGCAGCGGCAGGCGGGGGCGCAAGGGGAGGGGGAAGGGGGAGCGGGGGGAGGGGGAGCGGGGGGAGCGGGGGGAGCGGAGAGCGAGTATAAGCCCAAGGTTGCGACGTGGGGGGTATTCCCGAGGCCACGAGACATCTCTAGAACGGTGAGCGGGAGATAGGGTGGGAGCGTGAACGGGGGAAGTGAGGGGGTTGGGAGAACCATTCCCTTTATAAGGCTCCTCGAGAAAGGTTGCAACGTGGGGGGTATTCCCGAGGCCTAGAGACATCTCTAGAACGGTGAGAGGGAGGGAGAGGGTGGGGAGGGGGGAAGGTGGGGAGGGGGGAAGGTGGGGAGAGGGGAAGGTGGGGAGAGGGGAAGGTGGGAGATGCAGGGATGTGGGGATGCGACGTGGGGGGTATTTCCAAGTCCAAGAGACATCTCAAGAATGGTGAGAGGGAGGGAGAGGGTGGGGGAGGAGAGGTGAACTTGAAGCAGTGATTTCCTCTTTAAGCACCTGGAATAAGGAAGCGACTTGGGTGTTATTTTCAAGGCCTAGACACATCTCGAGAATGGTGAGAGGGAGGGAGAGGGTTGGGGAGTTGGCATGAGAAGATGAGGAAATAATTTTTCTTGTTGGTACTGACGGGTGCAAGCCCTCACGTTACCAATGCGGATACCATCTCCACCGTTCTCCTCCCCTCTCTCTCCTCCATCGAACTCCCATCTTCTCCCCCTGTCCCCTGGAGCGGGGGTGGGCGCACCATCAGGCCTGGAAAGGGCAGAGGAGGAGGAGAGGGAGAGGGAGGAGAGGAGGAGGAGAGGAGAAGGGAGGAGAGGAGGAGAGGGTGCCGGTGCTATCCCCTTTGTGTCCCCGTCTCGCCCTTTTCCCTTCTCTGTGTTTTTCCGATGTAGGCCGGGGGAGGCACTAGAGACAGAGGAGGGCGGGAGAGGGAGGAGAGGACGCGAAGGGTGCAAGATACCCACCATTTCTGATCCCATCTCTACCGTTCTCCACCCCTCCTCCCCATCAACCGTTCTCCCCTTTCAGTATGGGGGAGGGCGCACCATCAGGCCTGGAGAGGCACTAGAGACAGAGGAGGATAAGCAGGAGAGGGAGGAGAAGACACGGAGGCTGCTGAGTGAATACAACCAACGCTGCAAGATCCCACCATTTCTGATGCCATCTCCACCGTTCTCCACCGCTCCCCATTCTTCATTAACCCCCTTTGCCTCCCTTCCACCACGTCTCTGCTACAGTACGGCGGAGGGCGCACTATCTATCCAGGAGAGGCGCTAGAGTCAGAGAAGGAGAAGCGGGAGAGGGAGGAGAAGATGCCATTTCCACCGCTCTCCACCCCTCTTCTTCGTCAACCTTTCTCCCCTTCCCCCATTTTCCCTTTCAGTACGGTGGAGGGCGCACCATCAGGCCAGGGGAGGCGCTAGAGACAGCGGAGGAGAAGAGGGAGAGGGAGGAGAAGATGTCATTTCCACCGCTCTCCACCCCTCTTCTTGCTCAACCTTCCTCCTTTTCTCCCTTTTTCCCCACTCCAGTACGGCGGAGGGCGCACCATCAGGCCAGGGGAGGCGCTAGAGACAGCGGAGGAGAAGAAGGAGAGGGAGGAGAAGACGAGGAGACTGCTGGACGAATACAATCGAAGGATGGGCTTTAAGATGGACCCTGCTGTAAAGGCCGAGTGCGAGGAGGTGAGCAGAAGAAAGAGAGAAAAGGAGGAGGTGAGATGTTGAGAGAGGGTTGCTAGGAGGAGAGGACGAGGAGGCAGTCAGACGAATGCAACCGAAGGATGGGCTTTAAGATGGACCCTGCTGTCAAGGCGGAGTGCGAAGACGTTAGTTTGTGTGACATGGCCCCTGTCAGACGCATGGGCTTTAAGATGTACGCTGTATTCAAGGCGGAGTGCGAGGAGGTGAGTTGGTCGGCATTCTGTCAGTGCCCTCTCTACCCCAGTAACCGCTTGGCGTGGGCTTTAAGATGGACCCTGCAGCCAAGGCGGAGTGCGAGGAGATGAGCAGAAGAGAGCGAGAATAGGAGGAGGTGAGATGGTGTGAGATGGTTGTGAGGAGGCGAGAAGTCGAGGAGGGTGCTACACGAGAGGGGCAAGTGAAGGGAGGCACTGGAGCAGTTTGGCAGTTAGGTTGGTGGGTGGGTGGTTAAATGGGTCAAAGAATCTATCTCTCCTACATCCCCCTGCCTCTCTGCTGTAGGCCATGAGGCAGGGAGCAGCACTCATGGAGAAGGGCAGGCTGAGGGAGGCACTGGAGCAGTTTGGCGTGGTGGTCGCCAAAACGACCTTCCAGAACGAGATGCATGGCCGGGCGGCCATACAACAGGCCGTGTGCCTCGACTCCCTCGCCCGGTGAGAATCTTTTGCAGGTTTGGTCTTAGGATTTTGGGTTTAGGGTTAAAGCGTCAGCTGTGTAGACTGGCTGTGTAGCAGGGTTCCGGGTATGGTGTTGAGGTTTAGAGTTGAGGGTTCAGGGCTCAGCTGGGCGGCCATTGCTTGGCTCAGAGGTCAAAGCATCAGCTCTCAGAGCGAGATGGCTTAGAGATAAGGGTTCAGGGCTCAGCTGAGCGGCCATGGCCCATGGCTTGGCTCCGCCCATGGCCCATGGCGGCTGAGCGGCCATGGCTTGGCTCAGAGGTCAAAGCATGAGATGCATCTCTCAGAACGACTCTCTTGCACGGTGAGTGCTGCTGGCTCTCGATTCCCATAATGCTGACCGGGCCTGCTGACTGCGCAATGTGCTCCTTCCCTTTTTGACCCCCCTTAATTACACCCTCTTTCCCACCTCAACCAGGTCAGACGAGGCCAAGGGGATGTATGAGATTCCAGAGATAGGAAATTCGAGAGAAGAGGTCAAGCTGAAGGCCTCTTGCCTCCATGCGTCCTTCCCCGCACGTCTTCCCCACCCTCTCCCTCCCCCCAACCAGGTCGGAGGAGGCCAAGGCCATGTATGAGAGGCTGACAGGTCACCCAAACGAGGGGGTCAAGAGGAAGGCTTCTGACCTCCATGCTTCCTCCCCCCACCCATCCACACGCCTCCCCCCATCCCTCACCCATTCAGGTCGGACGAGGCAAAGGCCATGTATGAGAGGCTGACAGGGCACCCAAACGAGGGGGTCAAGAGGAAGTTTCCTTGCCTTCATGTGCCCTTCCCACACCCACACACGCGTGCCTTCCCCAACCTCTCCCTTCACCCCAACCAGGTCGGACGAGGCAAAGGCCATGTATGAGAGGCTGACAGGGCATCCCACACGAGGGGGTCAAGAGGAAGGCCTCTTGCGTCCACGCATAATCCACTTATGCCTTCCCTCTCCTCCCCCCAACCCAACCAGGTCGGACGAGGCCAAGGCCATGTATGAGAGGCTGACAGGTCACCCAAACGAGGGGGTCAAGAGGAAGGCCCGTCAGATGCTGTTTGGTTTCCAGGTGAGGCTAATGGCTTGTTTGTAAGCAGGTCAACATTTCAGATACACGGGCATTGTTTCCTGCTGCTTGATTCATGAGATTTTCTGTTGCTTCTGCTGCTTTTCGTGAAAAATGGCACGCGTTAGCACCATGTTCGGTTCTGGCACTTCCAATCACCCTTTTGTCTATGGGGCGTTGCATTTTCTTTGTTGTTCTTATTTTTTTTTTCGTATGTTTGATGTGCCATTCTAACAGGCAGCAGAGAATCTTCGCTTCACCGGTGGCTCAGACTACGACTCGTCTTGGTACAAGAAATACTTTGATGCATTCGCGAAGGGTTCCAAGTATAACAATGTCTACAAGGCAACGGAAGAGGACGAGGAGGAGAGCAGTAAACAGCTGTTGCGAGATGCGCTGCTGTATGGCCTCTTGTTGCTTATGCCTGTTGTGCTTATTCTAGGAGTGGCGGCAACAAGGAATGCGACCTGATGGTTTATGCTAACTCTCATCTCATATTGCAACTGTTGGGATACACTGCTAGTGTAGTTGCCTTGAGGGGAGCATTGATTTGAGGATGTTCTAAAATAAAACAAGCCTAGTGCTTTTGTAATGGATTTTGTTCCAAGCGGTGGTTGAGGTTGGTTTCTCCTCGACTGGCCACACACGATCTCCCTGCAGCCCCTCAGCTCCCATGTTGGTTGCGTGTGGTATATGCTGGGCTTAGGGCGCTTCACCTCGGGGCTGGAAGGCCCAAATCCGAACATCCGTAACGAATTCACTGTACGAACAGTTTCCCGACGAGATCCGAACACAAATTTGAACACCCTGGTGAATGTGACAGCTCGTGACTAGAGGCGACAGACTTTTCGAACATGCGACGTCGCCAAGTGCTAGACGACGTCGCAATAAAAATTTTCAGTCGTCTGCCATTCCCTGTTTAAGTCATTTTTCGCCCGTCCAGTCAAAATGTCTCTTCGAGCTCTTCTACTACTACTCAATTTGTTGTTTCCCAGCAGAAATGTCCTTTTCTCCTGCACGGCGACATTTGCAATGGTCGCAAACATTCGTGGGCGACCTGAAGGCTGCTGACCAATCAAATCAGTCGTCCGTGCGGAATCCCTGTCACCGATCCCAACTTGTTCGAACAACTCTGTTCGGACGTGTGGAATGAAGAGCTTCTTGCCCTTTGTGACAGCTCTGTTCAGATTCGCGAAATTTACGGCTAGCGATGTCACGAACACCCATACGAGGAGTAGCGAAAAATGTAACATTTCGACTGTTCGAACGAGCGTGCTGTTCGAACTGAGAGGTGAAGCGCCCTTACATCATTGTTCTCGATGCTGCTGGTAATTGCGCATGCGATCAGAATAGTTCGCTCCCCGCATTTGATTATAACGAGTTTACTCATGGACGCCATACGCCACGATCCACCGGCACGGCCCACCAGTTTGGCCGGTTTGGTTTGGACATCGTGGGAAGAAAGTGTGGCATCATCATCGCACACAATTTGGTTCCTGACGCTATGAAATGTTTTCGCAGGCACCCTTTCTACCCCGCGTGGTTTAGTGGGTTTTGTAAGATCACAGGAAAGGCGATACAGGCCTATGTCACGAGGAGTCGAAAACCGTTCGGGTCTCGCAGTCTGTAAAAATTGCACGCCAAATTGTTTGCAGAGTCAGGAAGTCAAAACCCACCCACTTTTCTGATACTTGACCCCCCCACCAAAACACGCCTCACGCTCGACCAAATCTGCCAGGCTGAGGTGACCGAAAACACGTCCATGTTGGAAATAATCACGCGACGCGACGATTTTCAATTTTTTCTCAATCCTGTGGACTAGCCTCGCGCCGCCTTCCACAATTTTTCATTTCTCTTAATCCCATGGACTGCTACATGCGCTTTTGCGGTATGTTTACACTTACTCTGGGCAGAGTGTTGGGGCTGTTTGGTTGGAAGTTACATTATCAAACAGGCATGATTTACCCCAACCGTCTTTGTTTCTGTTATATTTTTTGGAGTACTAGGTTATACAGTGCCGTCATGGTTATTTTTTTGGAGTATATATATTGCCATCGAGTCAGCAAGCTGACCGCGGGCAAGAAACAAAAACTAAAACCCACTCGGATGGCATGCCATCCGAGGGAGCCTCAACCCTAAAATTTTAGGGTTGAGGCTCCCGAATGGCATGCCGTAAGCCATGGGGTTTATTTTTACAACCAAGCTGGTTTTGCACTCATTGCAGCGGGATTGCGTCAGATACGATTTCTCGCAAAAGCGCGGCCTCTCTAGGGACCCTAAACTCGAGAATAAAAATACGCATAACAACAGATCTGTGTTGGCAGGTGTAGCAACAAGTGGCAGTCCATGGGATTAAGAGAAATGAAAATTTGTGGAGGGCGGCGCGAGGCTAGTCCACAGGATTGAGCGAAAGTTGAAAATCGTCGCGTTGGTCGATTATTTCTCGATGTTGGTCCTTCCCGAAAGACTTTCTTCGAATGGCCCGAGGCGGCCTCCCCCCCCACAAATACACGTACAGTACCCCGCCCGGGCAGGTCGGCCTGGGCCATCCTCCCCTTCACCCTCCTGCCTAGGCATCCCCTTTCCGTTTCGGCATCCCTCCCCTTCCCATCCCTGTCCCGCCCCGCCTTGGCATCCCCTCCAAAAATTCATCCTTGCCCGCCTCAACATCCCCGAACTCCCACTCCCCCCTCCCTCCCTCCTGCCTTGGCATGGCATCCCAACCCAAACCATCCCTCTCCCGCCTCAGAAGGTTTCCCGCCCGCCTAGACTTACATTTTTGCTCCCGCATTGGCTCGGCATCATCCCGTTCGCTGAATGCTTGGTTGGACTTCCGTCTTCGTCACGACAGCCGCTGGCCTATGACTGTACAGTAGCGCCACGAGTCACGACCATCTCAGCAACTGGAGCAGATTTTCTCCAACTTTTGCGCAAATGTCCCAACCACACACCCTTCACCCACCGAATCGAATCCGCGCCCGCTACCTGTTCTGTATATTCCCTTACGCCTCTTCATCCCTCCGAATTCCCCCATCTTCCTCGAAACGCCTTCCCCTTGATCCCACCACCCAATCATCTCGCCCAAGTAAACTAGCACTGTACAGTTTTTCTCTCCCTCTTCCCCCCTTTCCCCAATCCCCCCAGAATTTCCAGCCCAGACACTCGAAGCTCGCAAATGCAACATGGTGGGCGGCGCCACTGTTCCGCAAAACGCGGCATCTTTCAATCCTCCAGACCAGACACGCTAGGGGATGGTCGAATGGGATGAGGGGAAGCCACGTCCATCAAAACTACTTCCAAACCTCAACTCTCCGGGCCTCCCCTCTCCTCCCCTCTCCCCTCTACCCCCGTAAACCCCTCCTTACCATACCAGCCACCCATCAGCTTTCCTAGCGCATACATTCGCATCTTCCCATTCCATCCCACTCCCTCCTTCCCTTCCCCCCAGCCTCTGACTGACCAACGTCCTTGCGCTTCGAGCTTTTCCCCAACCTACAGTGTACATCCACACTGTACTGTCATACATCTACACACTGTACCGCTGTCCACAGTGTCCTGTCCTCTCGTCTCGAAACTGTATCACGCCTACTTTCATCTACACGTACGTGTACAGACTACACGTCGCGTCGCGGCGTGTAAACAGTAATCACATAGGTGTCGCTGTTGACATCTGTGAGTCTTGATTGACCGTTCCGCCCGTATGTCCCCCTGCCTGCCTCAAGGCTGGCCTCTCCCCTCAGCGGATTTGTCGCTCACCCTTCACATTGAAGGCAGTTCTTCCCTGTCCCCCCGTTCCCCCAACCCAACCACCACTCCATTCACCTGTGCACCTCCGCTCGCGCTGTATGCATTGAGCTCGCGCCCTGCGCCTTGTGCTCTGTGTCCTGGCGTTCTATCCATACTGCCGTGGTGTCGTCTTCGACCCGCAAAGCCAACCAAAAAGGCCATCGACGTTACACCCGAATAGTAGCTGTCGAACAGGGCTGTCGCTTGCAGGGCGTTTGCCCTGCTGGACCTTGAATTCCAGGGCTGGGTTGCCCTTCGAAACTGAAATTGATGGGTTTGAAAATTTCTGGCCCCGATTCCTAACAGGGCAGATTTCGGGGGGAGTCCCGGTGCGTTAAGGGTAGATTTTAGGCGAGTCCTGGAACAAAATCTTTCGAGCCCCTGCCCCCACCCCTCCCCACCCCCCAAACTCCTCACCCCCCCTTCCCACCGTTTCCATCCTGACCTCATTGCATCCAACCTGGCAAAGTTGGAGCTGCGTGGTTGGGCCACAAATAAAACTCAACCTACACGTTAAAAGATCTTATCTTAAGTGCTACCAAGTCAAGGAAGCCTGCTAAGCGTGCGTAGTGAAATGACGCTGTCTAGTTTATTTTTAAAGTCGTGTTTGCTTGTTGTAGTTTATCTCAGAGCGTAGCTGTAAGCTTCGTATCTGATTCTAAGGGAGGAAAAAATTCCAACACTGAAGCCTAAAGGGCTGAGGTTCGCACCTACCCTGGTAAATACAGGGTCGTACATGCCGGGCCCCCTGATTTGTCCGGGGGGCCCAAAACGAAACGACAGCCCTGCTGTCGAAACCTGAATGCTGACAATTGCTCAGACTCGGTGGGGGTTACCGGGTTACCAGTCCATCACCGCCAGACACACCAGCCCAGCTGTTGCCCAGATGACTAGTTCCTCTGATGTAGCGCTCTCGTAGTATTCTTTCTTACGAGAGCGACGCGCCATGCACCAACATGGTCTATCGTATACATCCTGATGTGTCGCTCTCGTAGCATCGCAGAACCTCGGCGCCACGTCATCATAATGCGCGACCCGAAGCTGTGTTAAGTAGGCGTCTGCAGTTGCGTTCTGGTAATATACGAAATGGGGCCACTTTTTACTAGGAGTGCTTCGCGAAGGATCCACGATAAATTAGGGTTTCAAATAGCGAAAGCGATGGGAAAGCGAGAGTGCTTAGCGTGGATGAGACGATCTCGAATCGCTATTCTGCTGTTGACCGTGGTCGCTCTCAGTTGCACCGCAGTTCACGCCGAAAGTCGCGCGGTGTCTCACGCCGTAAATGACGCTGGAAGCGGCAGTAAGGAGGCGTCCGTTTTTGAAAGATCATCCAGAGCAGCGTTGTCGGACGTACCGGACAGTGCGGCGGGAACTTTCGACGAAGGTAGGGGACGGTCAGAATTGGGATCAAGTCCCCGCGCAGAAGTGGGTGTTTCGGCAGAGTTGACGAAAGAGGGTAGAGGGGACGAATCATCAAGGCGAGACGTTTCGCCATCCCAGACGCAGACGCTACAAAGGGAAAGCCAAGCGGTGGAGATACAAGGGGCGGAAGCGGCGCAAACGGCGGAAGCGCAAGGGGTGGGCGACTTGAAATCAGGAAAGCAGGGAAGTAGCGCGGATTACGGGGAAATGGCAATGAATTTGGCAGAAGACAGATCCGATCAACGGCAGAACTGGTGGAGCTCGTTCAAGTCGCGTTGGACGAGTAGCGAATCGACTCTAAGCGCGGACGACGAGGGTGCTCCTAGAGAGGCGCGAATCGCCGAAGATGGGACGGAAGGCGAAAGGGACGAAGAAGAGGAGGGGGGAGAGGGAGAGGAGTCGGAGGAGGAAGGGGTGGGGGAGGGGGAGGAAAGGGAGGGAGGGCAGAGCGGGGAGGAGGAATACGCAGGGGATGAAAGAGAGGAGGGGGAAAACGGGGAGGCGGAGGGCGACGAGGGGGGGGAGTGGGGCGAGGAGGGGGAGGAGGACGAGGAAGGGGAGTGGGAGGAGGATGACGATGAGCGGGAGTGGGACGCGGATGCGCTAGGCGGGATGAGCGCGGAAGAGCTAGAGGGGCTTTGGCAAGCGGGAGACGACGCGGCAGGAGGGGAGGGGGAAGGGGAAGGGGAAGGGGAAGGAAAAGTGGAAGGGGAAGGGGAGGGCGAGGGGGAAGGAGGAAAGGACCGGAACCAAGAATGGGGCACGCGGTGGGGGGACGAGGGGGAAATTGGCGCGCAGGGCTGGGCGCGGCCGGAAGAAGCGGATGACACGGCGGAAACGGCGGAAGCGGCGGAAGTCGAGGCGGAAGGCCATGCGCGCAGGGAGGGGAGCGAAGAGCATCGGACGGATAGACCTGTATCCAATGATGGGTCAGACGAAGCGGATGGGACAACAACAAGCGTAGCGCAAACGCAATGGACGAGCGACGTCGCCCTAAACGAGCCGGACTTCAACGAAGAGCCTTCGTTAAAAGAACCGCCGCGATCGCCGCAGCGTTCTCTCATCGCAATCGCCAACGCCGTTACCAGGGGTCGTGGAGTCGCTACGCGTGCGACTCCGAAATCCAAACCTAGCCGCGGGAAAAAAACCAAATTTCCCCCGAGCGCTGGCAAGAGGAAGAGAGGAGGTTCTGGTTCAGCGAAGAAGCTGCGAAAACAGTTTCGCAAACGCTTTAAACGAGGCTCGATGCAGCTATTGAACCTGCTTTGGAGCATCGCGGTAAATGTGAACAACACGAAGCAGTTTGGGTCGTTGCGGACGATTATAAGCGCGGTGATTACAAAGGGGGTGATTATCGCTTTGGAAGCGCTCGGGTTGAATATTCCGGAAGGGCGCGCTTTTATTGCCACGCTCGTCGTCGTCGCGCGATCAAATGCGACGGGTGGCGACGCTTCTGCTCCTGCGGGAGCTGCCCTTGGCAATTCGTCGTTGTCTCCGGTACGCACAAGGGCTGTCTTCTTCGTCTTTTTTTTCTGCTGTTGTTGGTTGTGCCTTCCTTAATCCTTCTGCACGCTTGCTTCGCCATAAACTCGCTAAAACACGCATTTCGTTTAGTAGTAATATACTGTTCTCTGCTCCTCCCTTCTCCCCTGCTTTGTCTTCTTCCCACCTCGCCACGCCATTCCCGTTACAGGCCACATTCATCTACGACGTTGCGTACGTTCCAACAAACAACACCGCCAAAAGTACAGTTCCCGCCCCTCCTCCACCTTGCCCACCCTCCCCTTCGCAAGTTCCCCCCTCGCCCCTTCCCCCTGGTAATCCTTTCCCCACAATCTCCCCCTCCCCCGAGAAATCCCAACCCTGCAATCCGCAAACTCCCCCCTCCTCCCCCGGAAATTCCTCCCCTCCCCCTTCCCCCTCCCCAACTCCCCCCACTAACAACTCGTTAGAACCGCCACCCTTACAACCACCACCACCACCAACCTCACCCAACCCAACCACACCGCCACCAGGTTCGGTTTCCGAGCCTCGCCCTCCTATGGTTGTCGATTCCACCAGCACCTATTTCGAGTTCACCTCACCCCAAGCCTCCAATAGCAGCATTAGCGGCAGTGGCAGCAGCAGCACTCCCAGCAGCAGCACTCCCAGCAGCAACAGCAATTCCCCCTCCGAACCTCCTGAGCGACAGCTGGCGACTATTACCCCTGCCAGTAGCCAAACCCCCGGGCCAGCAGGTGCCAGAGGTTCGGCAGCCGCCTCGGCAGCAGGTTCGGCAGCAGGCTCGCCGCAGGGCATCGACTATGTGTTTCCATCTTCCACCCCCTCCTGCTCCTCCGGCCCCTACGTGTCGATGCTCTTCATCCCTCTCAAGCCCTCATGCCCCAGTCCCCCCAATACAAGACAACTCACTGTAATCACGTGAGTGTTCTCTTCTCAACTCCTTTTACTTCCCTATACCCTTGATTACCTTGTGCCCAATAATCCCTCATACAGTCCCCTCGATACAAAAGTTTGCCCTGTAATTACATGAAGATGTGTACCAGGCATTTGCCGCTTTTAAGCCCCAGTTGTCGCAACTCTCCCAGTATAAAACTCCTGCATCCCTATTACCTTTGTTCCTGCTGGGTTCTTCTCTCCTCTCCGCATATCTTGTTTTGACACCTTCATCACCTCGTATGTTTGTTGCTTTTCATTTTTCTACTGAAATTTTTGGCTCTTGTATGCTTTTGTGTCATATTCCGTTTGTATGCACTTTGTACGTCTGTACTGACCATTCTGACTACTTTTGTTTGTTTGTTTGTTTTTGTCATTTCAGGTATAAAAACATTCGCTATCTTCGCCTGCGGTTTGGGGTGCCCGGAAAAGGCTGTCAGCGCCTTTACAAGTTTCAACTGCCCCACTTTTTGGGGCGGCTAGTGAAAGGACCGGTGACAATGCGGGTGTGTGCTCAGGGCACGCCAAAAAAGAACTCGTGTGGTGTTATGACTCTCACTGCTGCTGTTCCTTCTTGTAGACGGTAACATGCTGCACTGTTTCTGCGATATATGTTCAGATATCTGTAACAGAAGTTACGCTCATTCATGGAACATATTACCAGCCTCAGAAGAGGGTAGTACTGCACACTCTTACAAGCAATGATGGCCATAACAGAACAGAAGCAGACAATACCATGCACGTGTATCATTATGTTACAATATAATTCTAGCTAGAATCAGACATTCACTTGGTGAGGGTGCCTTCTAACGAGGATAAACTCTCCCAGGAACTGCCTCGGCTCTGCATCCACCTCCCTGCCCTCCTGCCACGACTGCCCCACTATCACCCCTGGCCCTGCCGCCCTCACATAGTCCCTGAAATCGTCGTTGAATATGGGCGGGTGGGGACCTGATGGGTGGGGGGTGAGGGGTGATGGGAGGGGAGCGAGACGAGTGGAAGGGAGGGTGACAGAGATTAGGCAGAATAAATTCCAGGAGAAAGAAACCCCTTTCTCCCTCCCACCTCCCTGCCCTCCTGCCATGACTGCCCCACTATCACCCCTGGTCGTGCTGCCCTCACATAGTCCCTGAAATCGTCGTTGAATATATGCGGGTGGGGACCTGATATAGTCGGCAAGTGAAGGGAGGTATGGGTGAAAGTGTAGGGATGGAAGTGACAGAGAGAGTGAGAGTGAGAAAAACTGACTGTGAGAGTAAGGCCCTTACTCACGCTGCTCCCTGCCATGATTGCCCCACTATCCCCACGGCCGCACTGCCTGCTAAAAATTCTCAAAGAGTTCAACTCACGAGGGTCAGGGAAGCCTTCGGGCAGTCCGGAATCTTTTAGGTGCAGCTGCCCGGACTCGTAGTCGAAGGAGAGATCGCACGGCTCGTCTGTTGCGAGAACGTTAGTTGCTGCCCGGATGCGGAAGTACAAGGGCGTGATTGCATTGGAGAGGCCTGTAAAGAGAGGGCCACCTGATGGAATGGAGGGGAAGGCTCTGAGAGGATAGCAACGAAGGGTACGTTATGGATGGACATACACGAGCCGTGTTACCAAATGAGCGACACCGTGTTTCCAGCTGCTTCTCTTCCTGCAGCTTTCGCGGACGCCGCTTACAATCTGCTCCTCGCGTCCACCTGCCGTCGCTGGCGTCGCCTGGCGAAGAACCACGTCGCCACGCTCCTCTTGAAGACAAACTGCGCCGAGGCGACGCCAGCGACGGCAGGAAGAGAAGCAGCAGGAAACGTGGTGTCACTCATTTGGTACCTGAGAGTAGGCATGAGCATAATTCCGGGCTGGGCCCGGCCCGCGTCGGGCCGGCCCGGAATTGCCACGGGCCGGGCCTCAGATTTTGGGGTTCCGCCCGTGGCGGACCGGGCCGGCCCGGCCCGCCGGGCCGTAGGTAGCCCGACATCGGCCCGACATTTTTGGGCCGGGCCGGGCCAGCCCGGGTCGAATCGCGGCCCGGGTCGGGCTGTTCTGGCCCGCCTATTCCCCTTGCGACAAGTCACTTAGTGAACTCTACTTGTAAGCTAATAATGTGCTGGTCGAGTAAACCCTAAGAGATGATATGCTGTCGACTAGATCCCAGGCCAACAAATGCGGCCAGATCTAGTCGACCTGGGTTGGAAATTGATGAATTGGTTGGAAATTCTAGATTCAGTGCGGTGAAATCCGGTTTCTGTTGTGTTTTGTTGGCATAATTTGAGATTTGAGTCAATTTCGTCAAATCTCAATCACGCGGGGATTTGACTGCACCCCAGCAAATGTCGCGGGGGTCAAATTTGAGCTGCGCGACAGTTTGCGCAAGCTCTAACGCAAGCTTACCCCTAGCTTCTCGCCATGTATTTAGATCTCAACTAGCCCGTTTTTCTAACTTATACTCTATCTCTCAGTAGTTAGTGATAGTTAACCGTTTTAAAGTAACGGTTCTATGAAAGGGTGGCGAAATAGTGCGTTTTAGCTTAGATTAGGTTATGATTTCAGGCATTCCGTTTTCGAAAATCATGTGTGACTCTATCGAAAGTGCACCCGGGCCGACCCGGGCCCGGCCCGGGTCGGGCCTTGCTTGGCCCGGGTCGGGCCACCCTGGCCCGAGTACAAAATGGGCGGGCTCGGGCCAGGGTCTTGATCATTCGGCCCGGGTCGGGCCGGGCCTGGCCCGGCCCGGATTTTTGCCTGGCCCGGCCTAGCCCGACCCGGGCCAGGCCCGGCCCGGCCCGTGCTCAACCCTACCTGAGAGGTGTAACGTACCTGAGAGGTGTGAAGTACCTGAGAAGTGTAACGTACCTAGGAGATGTAACGTACCTGAGAGATGTAACGTACCTGAGAGATGTAACGTACCTGGGAGATGTAACGTACCTGAGAGACGTAACGTACCTGAGAGATGTAACGTACCTGGGAAGTGTAACGTACCTGGGAGATGTAACGTACTTCAGAGATGTAACGTACCTGGGAGATGTAACGTACCTAGGAGATGTAACGTACCTGGGAGATGTAACGTACCTGGGAGATGTAACGTACCTGGGAGATGTAACGTACCTGAGAGATGTAACGTACCTGGGAGATGTAACGTACCTGGGAGATGTAACATACCTGAGATGACTCGACCATAGCGCAGCCCATCAGCGCCAACAAAGAAGGCCTGCAGAGAGGCGAGTGCGAGTTGGAAACACAGAGGAGAAGGAAAGAAGGTAAAAGATCAAGTTTTGAGACATCTTTAAACATAATTCGAGTCACTTGACCATAGCGCAGCCCATCAGCGCAAACAAAGAAGGACTGCAGAGAGGCAAAACCGAGTTGAAAATACACAGTAGAAAGAAAGAAGAAGAAAGAACGAAGAAAGAAAGAATACACAGAAGAAGAGGAAGAGGATGCAACACGTGACGTGACCATTGGTGCCATTGAGGCACAGCCCATCAATGACAACTAAAACGATTGCAGAGACGATTTTGATTACAGACAGAACTCAAACAGAAGCAGGCCGGGTTGGGTCTTTTGAGTCGACTCAACAGACAGAACTCAAACAGAAGCAAGGCCGGGTTGGGTCTTTTGAGTCGACTCAACAGACAGAACTCAAACAGAAGCAAGGCCGGGTTGGGTCTTTTGAGTCGACTCAACAGACAGAACTCAAACAGAAGCAAGGCCGGGTTGGGTCTTTTGAGTCGACTCAACAGACAGAACTCAAACAGAAGCAAGGCCGGGTTGGGTCTTTTGAGTCAACTCAACAGACAGAACTCAAACAGAAGCAAGGCCGGGTTGGGTCTTTTGAGTCGACTCAACAGACAGAACTCAAACAGAAGCAAGGCCGGGTTGGGTCTTTTGAGTCGACTCAACAGACAGAACTCAAACAGAAGCAAGGCCGGGTTGGTTCAAACATGGTGAGGCAAGAAATTTGGCAAATCGGATGTTTTTGTTTTTTGTGGAACCTCACATAAACAGGTTATTTGGAAGCGAGCAAAATGTGAACTTGCAAGCAGGCAATTTGTGTGGTTTCACACACTTTAAATGGAAATAGTGAGGCAGGGCAGTAACGGGGTGATGGTACCCACCTTTTGAAAGCGCGAAAGCCATGACAACGGACCTGGAACTGGTGAAGGGGGTAGGGTGTGTGGGGGGGGGCCGGAGGGGACTTTTGAGTCGACTCAAAAGTCACCCCGCCAAGTTAAGTCAAGACGCATCGAGCAGGGTATGATATGATGGGACAGCACGACTCAAGAGTGTACTTTTGAGTCGACTCAAAAGTCACTTCAAAAGCCTTGAGAATGGACCTGGGATTGGTGAAGGGGGGAGGGTGTCTGAGGGGGGGGGGTGGCGGAGAGGGAGGGGGAGAGCAATGAGCAAACGGCTCTTAAGGTTTGAGATGCTCCAAAAGCCGCTGGAGGGGCATGTGTTGAGATGAAAGGGAGTACGGATTTGACAGCCGTGAAACCCCCCTCCCCCACCCTCAACCTACCCTCAACCCACCCTCAAACCACAATCAACCCACCCTCAAACCACAATCAACCCACCCTCAAACCACAATCAACCCACCCTCAAACCACAATCAACCCACCCTCAAACCACAATCAACCCACCCTCAAACCACAATCAACCCACCCTCAAACCACAATCAACCCACCCTCAAACCACAATCAACCCACCCTCAAACCACAATCAACCCACCCTCAAACCACAATCAACCCACCCTCAAACCACAATCAACCCACCCTCAAACCACAATCAACCCACCCTCAAACCACAATCAACCCACCCTCAAACCACAATCAACCCACCCTCAAACCACAATCAACCCACCCTCAAACCACAATCAACCCACCCTCAAACCACAATCAACCCACCCTCAAACCACAATCAACCCACCCTCAAACCACAATCAACCCACCCTCAAACCACAATCAACCCACCCAAACCACAATCAACCCACCCAAACCACAATCAACCCACCCTCAAACCACAATCAACCCACCCTCAAACCACAATCAACCCACCCTCAAACCACAATCAACCCACCCAAACCACAATCAACCCACCCTCAAACCACAATCAACCCACCCTCAAACCACAATCAACCCACCCAAACCACAATCAACCCACCCAAACCACAATCAACCCACCCTCAAACCACAATCAACCCACCCTCAAACCACAATCAACCCACCCTCAAACCACAATCAACCCACCCAAACCACAATCAACCCACCCAAACCACAATCAACCCACCCTCAAACCACAATCAACCCACCCAAACCACAATCAACCCACCCAAACCACAATCAACCCACCCTCAAACCACAATCAACCCACCCTCAAACCACAATCAACCCACCCTCAAACCACAATCAACCCACCCTCAAACCACAATCAACCCACCCAAACCACAATCAACCCACCCTCAACTCAACCCACCCTCCTGCCATTTCCCCTCCCCTCCTATTCCAGCCATGAAACTCCCCTTCCCCCTCCCCCACCCTCAAGCCACCCTCCTGTCATTTCCCCTCCCCTCCTATTCCAACCTCCTTCCTTCTGCTCCCACTTCCCTCCTTTCAACTCCTCTCCCCTCCCCTCCTCTCCCCTCGTCTTCCCTCTTTCTGCCCTCCCCTCCCCTCCTCTCCCCTCGTCTTCCCTCTTTCTGCCCTCCCCTCCCCTCCTCATCCCTCTCTCCCCCGTCCCATCCTCTTTTGAACTCTCCCCCCCACTCCTCTCCCCTCCCCTCGTCTCCTCTCCCATCCAACTCTCCCTCCCCTTCCCTCCCCTTTCCCGCAAACACCACTCACCTCCAATCACTCTCCCATCCCATATTTCCGGCTGCAGCGGTGCTGACGTGGCAACGTCCGGCAGCATCCCCCCTGCTGACGTCACTGGGTCCGCACCTTCCTCCCCATCTTCCTGCTCCAGCTGAAAGCGATTGCCGGCCGCGTCCCACATGAGCGTGAAGTGACTATAAGGAGAGGAAAGGAAAAGGGGGACGGGGGAGAGCGGGGGACCAATGGAAAGGGATGGAAAGAGGGGAAAGGGGAAAGATGGGGAAGTGGCTGGGAAAGGGGCATGGGAAGGGAGGATGGAACGGGGGTGGGAGGTTTCTATTCCAACTGGAAAAGGGTGACGTGAGCATGGGAGAGGGGAAAAAAAGGCTCAACCTTATCCCAAAATCGCTTCTTGAACGAGAATGACGTGAGCATGGCAGCACAGAGAGCGATGGGGGGAGACGGAACGGGGTGGGGGAAGTTGGTGGGGTGGGGTGTGTGGGTGGATCACCGCATTCACTACATTATAAAATGCAGATCGAACGACGTGTATAGACTTGGGGTTCAAATTCGGATATGAAAATGCAATTTCGGAATGATGTATACTCACTGGGGTTTGAGCAGATCCAGCAGTCTGTGGCGCCTCTCCTCGGGAATGTCGGCAATCTTCTTCCTGCAGCCAATCAGAGCGCGAGAGAGAGAAAGGCACGAAAGAGAAAATACAGCGAAGTTGCTTTTGAGAGGATTTTTCTCCCGTCTTCTTTTTCCTTTTCTTTTTCTTTTATAGCTAGGGTATACATCTGCGAAAGCAAGGCACAGGATGTAGAGAAAAAGCAGGGCCGAGAGCTAAAACGAGGGTGGCGAGCTGAAATTATAATAAGAAATGACCCTAGCAGCAATCAAACAAGGAAGATTGAAAAAAAAATGCTACGGTAACCGAGAACGTCACAGAGCAGGTTGGGTCTGAGCAAAAAGCACCGTGATTTCACCGTGAATACATAGACAACTTAGGAAAAAATTGCACTTCGTCCTCGCTAATAGATACTCGAAACGCTCACCACAGAAATACTGCCGGATTGTAAGTTTCCGGATCAAACGGCCGTAAATACCGCGAGCCGTCCAGAAATCCCGGAATATCCAGCTCATCTAGATAGTACTTCCGTCCGTCCACGAATCGGTACGGTTTCTCCTCCTCCTGCTCTTGCGCCGCCTGCTCCGCTATAAGCTCCCTCAATTTAGCCTCTCGTCGCTCGTCTGCTTCGGACGTCGCTAATGAAACGTTCCTATCGCCGTTTGATGCGCTGTGAATGCGCTGCGAGCTTCTGCGGGTGAATCTAACGGATGTGATTCCACGGGAGACTCTGGCGCAAACGGTGGACGAAATGGCTGGCGGCACGGTCAGAATTTGGGATAACGACGAAGCCATGGGGGCGGCAGCCATGGTTGCCATTGAAAGGGACGAGCTAAGGGCAAGAAAACCTCTTCGGAATACGACTTCAGAATCTGATGACGCCGTGGAGCGAGGACCACGACTACTAATTTCAGAGAAAGAAATCGTTCCTCTTCTGGCACCGCAACAGGTGAAGGTCATACTAACGAGCGCTGCTAGCTCCGTGATCGACGCTGCGTGGGGAGGGGTATGCCTAATATCCGCAACATGGTTGCTCGCATGGCGTCTGTGGGGACGCGGGCACTCACGCCGATTTCGGCGATCGATTTCGGAACAGGATCGTTTTTATACGAATTTTAAACAGGTCAGGAAGGTTTTAGAGTACAGTAGCAGGTTTCTAATGCGGTGACAGATCGAAAATTTTCAATCGATCGCCAAAATGGATGCGAGTGCCCGCGTCCTAAGGGCGTGTCCAACTCGTACGTTTTGGTTCATATACAGTTCATCTACCGTGGTGCACAACAATATCAGAAGGTGCAAAGCGATTTTGGATTTTCACCGTTGTTTACCGTGACGCAAAGCGGTCAACCGCACAAATTGAACTGAAAACGTACGAGTTGGACACGCCCTAAGATGTCTTGTTGCACCTGCGGTGCAGGAGATAAACACATAGGTGAACGTATAAAAAAAAATATGATAATGCCAAATTCTTTCTGCTACTAGCTATAGCGGAATGCTGAAAGAGCCTTTTCTCTCATATGTATTGTTCAGTTGAAACGCAGCTTGCAAATAAATGCAGCTTGCAAATAAACGCAGCTTGCAAATAACGGGGTTCTCCTGATTTGTTGGAAGCTCACACTTCTGGACCTCCACCGATATCCACGCCACCACAGCTCGAGGCGTGTTTAGAGCCAATCAGGGATAGGGAAGAGGTCTCGATTGTTGTTCTGGTTTTGTCTGAGGTGCTGTTTTCGGGCATCTCAGAAGAGTTCGCTCCCAAACAGTTATGGTGGCAGAACCACCAGTGTACACTCCAGATCGACTGACAAGGGTTTTGTGTGAACTGCTACACGCCATTCTGTGGGCAACAGGGAAAGTTACCTTTATAATATGGCTTCGTGTGCAAGTGTCCCTAGGGCTTGCCGCGTCTCCAGTTTCTCCTTATTCAGCGGGGTTCTCCGTGTTTCTTCATTCCTGCTTTTTGCTCACCCGATTAGGTTTTCTCGGCTCTCCATCTTCCTGTGTCGCTCCTTTCCACTCCTCGCGGCCCTTGTACTACGCTAAGCATTCGCGTGATTGGTGGGGTTTAAACATGAGGAGCTTAGCTCCTCCTCCGAGTAGTCAAGTAGGACCGGGAGCATTGCCTCGTCTAGGTCACGCGTTGCTGGCCACTAAGAATGCGGTTCGTGCAGGCTCGGGAAATGTTAGAGGCGAGAGCGCGGAGGAATGGAGCGGTATGTTCGCGGCTGACTCTCGGAGGCGAGTTTGGCCTAACGGTGCCGAGGTGGAGAATCAGGTTCGTTTGTTAATCATTAAGCTATGCATTCCGCAAAGTTACGACGCGAAACTAGAACGTTTTCGTCATTACGATGCAAAGCTGTGATTCAAGGTCCTTTTTTTAGTCTAGTTTCCTCGTGTAGCCTCGACTTCATTCATGTTGACGCCTCGAGCTGTAATACATGTTCCCGCATAATAGTCTTTTTATTGCTGATCGACTTAAACACGTTATCGTCCGTGGTTGCACTGATCGCAGAACTCGATGGTATGGATGCCAAGCGCGTTCTCAGGAGCGCAGCCAGCGCTGGCGGATGAGGAGCTAGCAGGACTCGACGATCAAGAACGACCTTATTTCCGTTACCCCACCGCAGCAACGCAGAAAGCAAGCGCAGCCGCGCAGGGAGGGACCACAGCAGCCCGCGGAACCCTAGCAGGATCAGCATTAGCAGCATCATCAGGAACAAATGCTGAATCGTTCGCGATGATCAGAGTTCGCGAGCCCACCCCAGCTCATTTCGCTGTTCGCCACTCCCCTGTCGCAAGCGACGCAGCCCCAGCAGGAACAGCAGCAGCAGCCGAGGGTTCGAGATACAACCCGGATGCGCTCCGCGTCCTGTCCGAAACCCTAGCTCCACAATATGGTCACTCCAGCTCCGCAGCAACATCTCTTTCACTCACTCCAGTCTCTAATAATTCCTCAGCTGAACCGATCGTCTCGCCTAGAGATGGTGTCGGATCTCAGGAATTGCAAGAAGGAAACTCTACAAGCGCCGAGCTTTCAGGATCGAGCAGAGTGGGAGGCGACGCGACGTTAGGGGGATTGCCGCCGCCGCGAATGGCGTCGCTCAGGCTGACGTGGTCGTGGGAGGAGTGGATCCTGGGCCTCGGGATTGGCGCTGCGGCTATTGGCTTCGCCATGGCTCTTGTCACGAGCGCGACTGGCGGGAGGCTCGGTCCGCGACGAAATATGTCCGCCGTTGTAGGCCCCACCGGGAGGGTTGTAAGCGGGGTTGTTCTTAGCGAGACTGCTGCTGCTAGCGGGTCGGTTCTTAGCGGGGATCTTCTGGCAGGCGGCGACGCGGCAGCAGCGGCCGGCAGGGGGGCCGCGGCGCCAGTGATAGTGTTGGGGGAGGAGCAAATTGTGGGGGTGGGAGAGACTGGCAAGAACGTTCCTTTCTACTTGTAAGTGTTACTTTATGTTACTTACGTATGGTTCGCTTCAGAAACGCGGGACCCGCGGCGCCAGTGACAGTGTTGGGGGAGGAGCAAATGGTGGGGGTCGGAGAAACCGGCAAGAAGGTCCCTTTCTGCCTGTAAGAGTTGATTCCTTGCTGCTGGTTTCCACATGAGTAGCCATCGTCTCTCACAGTCAGTGGCAGTGGCGTGCTTCATTGTCTTCTCTCCCCATTGTTCCTTCTGAGTTGGTTGTTCATTCCAAGTCCCCTGTTTGGTTTGTGTCATTGCGCCCTTCTGCCCTGTGCGTCGTTCAGGAGGGAGGCGAAGCCAGGAGTGATCGAACTGTCTGCGGCCACTCTGCCGCACGTGCTGCGACTCAGGTGAGCTTTCAGGTGATCACAGGTCCTCCCATACAGTCTCAGGTGCTTTCGGGTGCTCTAAGACGAGTCATTTCGCTCCAAATAGACCCGGATGCTCTTCAGTGATCTCAGGTGCTCTCAGGTGCTCTCGGGAGCTCTGAGGTGCCCTCAGGTGTTCTCAGGTGTTCTCAGGTGTTCTCAGGTGTGCTCACGTATGGACCACGCCCTCTGCTGCGCTCACTGTCAGCGCATGGAGGCGCTGACAGTCCGTCATGGCGGCATGGGCGCATAGTCCAGTCATCCGCCTCCACATCCTCTCCCCACCATCAGGCCCATGGGCGGCCCTCAGCATGGGTGCAATCTCCCGTGTTCGTGTATTCCCACCACACCTTCGTTTTCCCCACGTGATGCTATCTCCCTGGTGCCCCTACTGCCAGCGCATGCAGCTCGGCAACTCACCAGATGCTGTCGGCCTGCCTCTGGTCCCTCCCCCGGTCCTTCTCTCCCATCTCCAGGCCCACGCTGGTCATGTTCTACACGCCCTGGTGCCCCTACTGTCAGCGCATGGGCAACTCAACAAATGACCCTCTTCTTGTCTCCTACCCTGCTCGCTCCCTACCCTGGTCGTTCTCGCCAGGCCCACGCTCGTGATGTTCTACGCGCCCTGGTGCCCCTACTGCCAGCGCATGGACGTGGCACAGGCGTTCAGTGCAGCAATCTCTGTGTCTCCCCTCTCTCCCTCGCCAGGCCCACGCTCGTCATGTTCTACGCGCCCTGGTGCCCCTGCTGCCAGCGCATGGAGGCAGGCAGCTGGGGCAGCCCTGGTGACTCAGTGCTGCTTTCTCTGTGCCTCACCTCTCTCCCTTCCCCTCCCTCCCCTGGTCATTCTCCCCCTCGCCAGGCCCACGCTCGTCATGTTCTACGCGCCCTGGTGCCCCTACTGCCAGCGCATGGAGGCAGCATGGGCGGCTCTGGCTGAGAAGCTGCACCAGGAGAGCTTCAACGTGCAGGTGGGGGAGAGTTGGGAGTGGTGCAGTCCGGTGCAGAAGGTATAGGGTATGGCTCGAATGGGCTGCATGCTAGACAAGTGGGATGGCCGGATCTGGTGGAGAAGCTGAACCAGGAAAGCTTCAACGTGCAGGTGGGGGTGGGGTAAGGGGATGGGGATGGGAATGGGGATGGGGATGGGTTGGGTTATAACGTGGCATGGGCGACTCTGGCAGAGAAGCTGAACCAGGAAAGCTTCAACGTGCAGGTAGAGGGGGAGTTGGAAGTGGTGTGAGTTGGTGCAGGTGGGGGGGTTGTGAATTCTATGACGTGGTGCAGGTGGGGGTGTATTGAGTGGTAGTGGTGCAGGTGGGGGTGTTGTGAGTGATATGATGTGGTGCAGGTGGGGGTGTTGTGAGTGGTGTGTCTCGGTGCAGGTGGGTGTTTCATAAAGGGTGATGTGAGCTTAATCCCCCCTCTTCCCACCCACAACAGGTAGCACGGGATGCATACTGGTATCTTGAGTTAACTGACAAGTACAAGATCCCAGGCTTCCCCACACTCATGCTGTTCGACGGAGGGAGTGACTGGTTGCTGCATGCTAAGTCCCATGAGTCAATTCACTACCCTCTTCCCTCAAACAACAGGTAGCACGGGTGGATGCCTACAGATACCCCGAGCTTACTGACAAGTACAAGATCCCAGGCTTTCCCACACTCATGCTGTTCGACGGAGAAAGTGACTGATAGGCACCTAAACATATATGGATCAATTCACCCCTTTCCCTCTCTCAAACAACAGGTAGCACGGGTGGATGCCTACAGATACCCCGAGCTTACTGACAAGTACAAGATTCCAGGCTTCCCCACACTCATGCTGTTCGACGGAGAAAGTGACCGATGGGCACCTAAACATATATGGATCAATTCACCCCTTTCCCTCTCTCAAACTAACAGGTAGCACGGGTGGATGCCTACAGATACCCCGAGCTTACAGACAAGTACAAGATTCCAGGCTTCCCCACACTCATGCTGTTCGACGGAGAAAGTGACTGATAGGCACCTAAACATATATGGATCAATTCACCCCTTTCCCTCTCTCAAACAACAGGTAGCACGGGTGGATGCCTACAGATACCCCGAGCTTTACTGACAAGTACAAGATCCCAGGCTTCCCCACACTCATGCTGTTCGACGGAGAAAGTGACCGATGGGCACCTAAACATATATGGATCAATTCACCCCTTTCCCTCTCTCAAACTAACAGGTAGCACGGGTGGATGCCTACAGATACCCCGAGCTTACAGACAAGTACAAGATTCCAGGCTTCCCCACACTCATGCTGTTCGACGGAGAAAGTGACTGATAGGCACCTAAACATATATGGATCAATTCACCCCTTTCCCTCTCTCAAACAACAGGTAGCACGGGTGGATGCATACCGATACCCCGAGCTCACTGACAAGTACAAGATCCCAGGCTTCTGCATTCCTTTCCCCTATCCCTGACGTCCTCTCCACACGTCCACCCCCACAACCAGGTGGCTTGAGTGGATGCATATCGATACCCCGAGCTCACAGACAAGTACAAGGCCCCCGTCTTCCCCACACTCATGCTGTTTAACGGAGAAAGTGACTGATAGGCACCTAAGAATATATGGATCAATCCACCCCTTTCCCTCTCTCAAACAACAGGTGGCTCGAGTGGATGCGTACCGATACCCTGAGCTCACTGACAAGTACAAGATTCCGGGCTTCCCCACACTCATGCTGTTCAACGGAGAGAGGCCCGTCGCAACGCACAGGGGGAGGAGGAACCTGGAGGCACTGTTTTCATTCGTGGAAAAACACTTTTAGTGGCGTGGCAGGGGGAATGCGCAAGGGGAGGCACTTGTTGCGTTGGCTGATGGAAGTTCAACGGGGAGAGGCCTGTGGAGTGATGCACAGGGGGAGGCGCTGTTTGGGAGGAAGGGGAAGGGGGGAGGGGAATGGGGGAGGGGAAGGGGGAGGGGAGGGGAAGGGGGGCACAGGGCTCGGAGGAGGGGGCTTGATGGGGAGGACGAGGAATGAGGCAGGCTTTCCAATTCTGAGTCAACTGTGATCTGAAGCACTTCTGGGCTGGTGTCCTGAAATGATGAGGTGAGGTGGAGAGTTGCTTGCTGGATGGGCGACTCTTCCACCTTTTTAATGGATATTTTTATGGTATAGGTGGACACTTTAATCGTAAGATGAGTTGCTCAGGTATGGAGCTTGGCCGCAGCCACTGGGCTGTAGACGCTGCAGCAATAAAATGGGGTGGTCGTTTCTAGTGTGGCTGTAGTAAGGGTAGTACAGTATCGAGTAGCTGGTATGGTAAATAGTACTAGCGGGTATAATTTGAGGTTTCTGGTGAGGTGCCAAGGCAGTTTCTGGCATTTGATTTGTAGGGCTAATTTTAGAACTATGTTATATGTATTATTAACACTGAACGCATTTATCCATCTTTATGGTTAGAAGTAATAAGGCAAAATATGGTGTAAGTGTTTATCTGGAATCATCCGTACATTTATCAACAGGCGTGCTACCAAGAATAAAGAATGAAAGAATAAGAAGTTCATTCAGAAACCGGAGACCAGGGCCCAAAATAGGTTTAGGTCCACTCTTTCAAATCAGGGTTCCAGGCCCCCAGTACCCTGACTGTTAGGGTAAAATATTTCGTACCCTGCCAAAAACAGCCTAAGAAAACATGTACACTGATTTTAAAAGGATGAAAAGGTTTTTATTTACTGATTGCATTTCTTAGAGCAAGACTCCACCAGAACATGTCTCAGTTAGTCAGATGTGAGGCTAGAATTCCGAAGGTCGCAGGTTCGAATCTGGCTGGTGCACAAAAAATTTTCGCAGCTTCGCAAGGAAAACTCTCGCTAAGAGGATTCGGTATCTGTGAAGTATACAGTGCACCCTGATATCGGCAGGGTAACAGAAATCGTTATCAGTGTAAATCAAATCTTAGCCTGTTTGCTCTAGGGTAATAAATTTGATACCCTGTTTTTGCAAGGGTAACTGGGAAAAAGCGGCCTACCATCAGGGCAAAAAGTTATTTTTACCCTTGAAATTTGGGGCTGCCGGAGACCCACCAAACGAGTACCAACTGACCAGAGAGTCAACCACTGATACCGTAGAGCAGAGAGTCAGAGACCACACACGGAAGACTGCTCCAGTATGAGTGGGCATTATTGAGCCACGTAGGCCCTTCGGGGGTTTCTGAAATTTCTCAACTTCGAAAGAAAATCGAAGCAGGTTCACCGCGCAGCAACTCGACCGTCTGGAACGATTACTATTCAGTGATGGGGACAGGAAGCACCTTGCCGTGGAACGCGGAGAAGCGGCAATCCGCAGCGAGCACCGAAAGTAGACTCGTAATCCTCCGTCTACCCATTCAAAGACCCCGCTCCCCTTCACCGCTCGCTGACTTTTGAGTCAACTCAAAAAGTCAACGGGGAAGAGGAAGCGCCTTGCCGTGGAACGTGGAGAAGCGGCAATTCGCAGCGAGCACGGAGCTAGACTCGTAATCCGCAGTCCCTCCATCCAGGAACCCCGCTCCCTCCGCCGCGTGCTGACTTTGAGTCGACTGAAAGATCAGCGGGGAAGGGGGAGCGCCTTGCCGTGAAACGCGGAGAAGCGGCAATCAGCAGCGAGAACCGACGTAGACTCATAATCCGCAGTCACGCCATCCAGGAACCCCGCTCCCTCCGCCGCGTCTGCCGCGACGGGCCGTCCTAGCGCGTGCGCGATCGTTTTGTAATCCATGGCGCGCTTCGCGCGTCCCTTGCGGTACGTCTGCCCCATGATTCCGTGCACCTGATTGGTCGTTTCGACGGCATCGAACGCGATGTTGATGTGCGTCTCCGCGTCGTCAGGTGTTTGCAACAGAGGGTGCGCAACGCGCAGCTTGATATCCATCTCTAGAAGCCCCGCTATAGTCACACGGTACACGTCTTTAACGAACGCGCCGCCAGTCTCAATTCCGACGAACGTGAACGTGAGACCTCCGGGGAGAGAGCGCGCCTCGCCCGGCTGGGTCATCCGCGGAAGCGCTTCCCCATCCATCTCCGCCAACGCTAAGAACCCGTCCCCGCGCTCTTGTTGCTTCCCCGCGCGCGCCACCAGGCGGAGCTTGTGCTGCGCCTCCCCCGTCGCCGCGCGCCACACGAACCCGAGCGCGCGGATCCACGTGCGCACCGCCTTGCCGTTGCGCAGAACTGGCGCGCCGACGGTGCGCGTCTCGTAATACCCGCGCATCTGCATGTTCACGTGCACGTTACGATCCGTCAGCAGACAGAACGTCTTCTCCGGAGCGCCGTTGAACTCGAATCGCGAGTAGTCGTAGTTCAATTGAGAGGATGTCGCTGCTCCGTTGCCATCCACCGCAAGAACGGCGGGAAATGCGAAGCCGAGGAGGAGTGCGACGATGGCGATCTGATTAGCCGCCATGGCAAAAGACGCCAGGGTTTCGAGTCTTTCGTCACCAAATTTGCCTCCAGCACTACTGAGGGCAGAATTACCGAACTTCGAATGTAGACTGAGGAAAGGACGCGAGTGACCGAAAGGGGGTGGAGATACAATGCCGCGTCGCGAAACAGTGGGGAACGTGTGGTAGGGGGATGGAGCTGGAGGGAGTGAAAGGGGGAGATGAGGGGTGTACATTTCCTGTCAAGGGGAGTGATAGGGTATCACCGCCCGTGTCGCAGGCGAGATTTGAGGACCGTCAATAGACGGTGTCGTCACGTCAGGTGGAAGGTGAGATCACAGAGAGTCAAGGTGGTTTGTCGTGACGTTGTCCTTGGCTTACTGTATTGTGTGCGTCCCTCGACGTGGGACTTCAATCCTCACCGTCCATCCATATTTGCGTGGAGACAAACGACGGTTTACTACCTGCACTGTATGGTGAAATAATAAATGAACCATTTACTGTAATATAATGAAACAATCTGTCTGTACCCCGCCACTCAGTAGCGAGAGAAACATATCCACAATTCCAGATGAAAGAAGGCATCGCACGGCAGCAGAAGGCATCGCACGGCCAGGCAAGTTATGAACGCGTCAATCGAACGGCCAGCCGTCCAGACAAGCACACAAGCTACTACTACGCTTTCTTTCTGCGACTACTACTGCTGATTCACCCATATAATGCAGTCGTTGGCACCGAGTTGTGCCATTGATTTGTGATTCGCTGGCGACGGTGCATTATATGCACACGCCTCCAATCATTTCGTCCCTGCGATTCACTCGAGTCAATCACCGCCTGACAACCCAATCACTGCCGTCGCACGCGCGTCGCGGCATTCCCAAGATTCAGAGCGATCTCGTCATCGCAACTCACTGGAGCCAAAGCCGACAGTGTCGCCTAGGCGAGTCGCCTATCGCAGTCCTGTAATTATATGTGACTCATGGCTGAGCCAACGGCGCGCGGCTCTGTAATTATATGTGCCTCCTTGGAGCCAACCCGCTGCTGTGCGAATTATACGACGTGGCACGTTTCCCGACGAGGCGCGGCGGGAGCCATGCTGAATCGCGCTCGTAAACTCGCAAAGTGTATTGCGAGCCAAGGACATAAGCCACAGCCCAGCACCGTCCCATTTCAAACGTTGGAAGGCAACGTTACCATTCTCCCCATCCCTGACAGCTCATTTCAAACGTTGGAAGGCGGCTGCCTTGCCGCGTGAATCTCCTTCGTAAACTCGCAAAATGTATTGCGAGCCCAGGACATAAGCCACAGCCCAGCACCGTCCCATTTCAAACGTTAGACTTTTGAGTCGACTCAAAAAACACAGCCCAGCACCGTCCCATTTCAAACGTTGGAAAGCAAACGCTACCATTCTTCCCATCCCTGACAGCTCTCTATACCCGAGACTCCCACGTGACAGCACACAGCTCCTGTTCCGACTTTGCGCCTCTGTTTGCGCCTCTTTCATCACGCTTCCGCCCGCCTTCCGCCGCCGCTCTTCCGCCGCGTCTCCCGCGACCCCCCCGACCCCCCCATGGCACCATCATGTTCGCGCGCCTCTCCCGCTCCGCTGCTGCTCGCCCTTGCGCTCATCTGCGGTTAGTCTGCTGCTCTCTCATTCCTTTGAATCGTATGCATTTTTTTCCTGTTTCCCTCCCCATGTCGTGCTCGCTTCGTTTTCCGCGCACCCTTCTGCTCTTACGTCTGTGCTCTTATATCCGCTCTTTCATATCCGCTCTCTCCTCACCGCACGCCCTCTCCCTTGTCCCCTGCAGCAGTTCAGATCATGACGGCAGCGAATGGCGACGACTCAATGAAAAGCAGCATGACACACCGTACCTACTGCTGCGAAGCATCATGCTGAAAGGCGCGTATGGGGAAGGCGCAGAGGCGGAGACAGCAAGCAGGAAGGTCAATGCGCGGATTGCGCAAGAGACCACCACCACCACCGGCAGCACCAGTGGTACGTTCAGAGGGCGTCTTCGTTCATCGCCCTGTTCTAATTGCCTCTCTTGCAGATCTTGCCCTTATGAACCCTAAACCCGAAACCTTACGACGTCCATAAACATTCATACCTTTGTGCCCTATGAGCCCTATGACCTTATGAGCCCTATGACCTTATGAGCCCTATGACCTTATGAGCCCTATGACCTTATGAGCCCTATGACCTTATAAGCCCTATGACCTTGGAGCCCTATGACCTTATGAGCCCTATGACCTTATGAGCCCTATGACCTTATGAGCCCTATGACCTTATGAGCCCTATGACCTTATAAGCCCTATGACCTTATAAGCCCTATGACCTTATAACCCTATGACCTTATGAGCCCTATGACCTTATGAGCCCTATGACCTTATGAGCCCTATGACCTTATGAGCCCTATGACCTTATGAGCCCTATGACCTTATGAGCCCTATGACCTTATGAGCCCTATGACCTTATGAGCCCTATGACCTTATGAGCCCTATGACCTTATGAGCCCTATGACCTTATGAGCCCTATGACCTTATGAGCCCTATGACCTTATGAGCCCTATGACCTTATGAGCCCTATGACCTTATGAGCCCTATGACCTTATGAGCCCTATGACCTTATGAGCCCTATGACCTTATGAGCCCTATGACCTTATGAGCCCTATGACCTTATGAGCCCTATGACCTTATGAGCCCTATGACCTTATGAGCCCTATGACCTTATGAGCCCTATGACCTTATGAGCCCTATGACCTTATGAGCCCTATGACCTTATGAGCCCTATGACCTTATGAGCCCTATGACCTTATGAGCCCTATGACCTTATGAGCCCTATGACCTTATGAGCCCTATGACCTTATGAGCCCTATGACCTTATGAGCCCTATGACCTTATGAGCCCTATGACCTTATGAGCCCTATGACCTTATGAGCCCTATGACCTTATGAGCCCTATGACCTTATGAGCCCTATGACCTTATGAGCCCTATGACCTTATGAGCCCTATGACCTTATGAGCCCTATGACCTTATGAGCCCTATGACCTTATGAGCCCTATGACCTTATGAGCCCTATGACCTTATGAGCCCTATGACCTTATGAGCCCTATGACCTTATGAGCCCTATGACCTTATGAGCCCTATGACCTTATGAGCCCTATGACCTTATGAGCCCTATGACCTTATGAGCCCTATGACCTTATGAGCCCTATGACGTTATAAGCCCTATGACCTTATGAGCCCTATGACCTTATGAGCCCTATGACCTTATGAGCCCTATGACCTTATGAGCCCTATGACCTTATGAGCCCTATGACCTTATGAGCCCTATGACCTTATGAGCCCTATGACCTTATGAGCCCTATGCCCTATGAGCCTATGCCCTTATGAGCCCTATGACCTTATGAGCCCTATGACCTTATGAGCCCTATGACCTTATGAGCCCTATGACCTTATGAGCCCTATGACCTTATGAGCCCTATGACCTTATGAGCCCTATGACCTTATGAGCCCTATGACCTTATGAGCCCTATGACCTTATGAGCCCTATGACCTTATGAGCCCTATGACCTTATGAGCCCTATGACCTTATGAGCCCTATGACCTTATGAGCCCTATGACCTTATGAGCCCTATGACCTTATGAGCCCTATGACCTTATGAGCCCTATGACCTTATGAGCCCTATGACCTTATGAGCCCTATGACCTTATGAGCCCTATGACCTTATGAGCCCTATGACCTTATGAGCCCTATGACCTTATGAGCCCTATGACCTTATGAGCCCTATGACCTTATGAGCCCTATGACCTTATGAGCCCTATGACCTTATGAGCCCTATGACCTTATGAGCCCTATGACCTTATGAGCCCTATCCCTTATGAGCCCTATGACCTTCTAGCCCTATGACCTTATGAGCCCTATGACCTTATGAGCCCTATGACCTTATGAGCCCTATGACCTTATGAGCCCTATGACCTTATGAGCCCTATGACCTTATGAGCCCTATGACCTTATGAGCCCTATGACCTTATGAGCCCTATGACCTTATGAGCCCTATGACCTTATGAGCCCTATGACCTTATGAGCCCTATGACCTTATGAGCCCTATGACCTATAAGCCCTATGACCTTATGAGCCCTATGCCTTATGAGCCCTATGCCCTTATGAGCCCTATGCCCTTATGAGCCCTATGCCCTTAAGAGCCGATGACCTTATGAGCCCTATGACCTTATGAGCCCTATGACTTATAAGCCCTATGACCTTATGAGCCCTATGACCTTATGAGCCCTATGACCTTATGAGCCCTATGACCTTATGAGCCCTATGACCTTATGAGCCCTATGACCTTATGAGCCCTATGACCTTACCTTATGAGCCCTATGATGAGCCCGATGATGACCTTATGAGCCCTATGACCTATGAGCCTATGACCTTATGAGCCCTATGACCTTATGAGCCCTATGACCTTATGAGCCCTATGACCTTATGAGCCCTATGACCTTATGAGCCCTATGACCTTAAAGCCCTATGACCTTATGAGCCCTATGACCTTATGAGCCCTATGACCTTATGAGCCCTATGACCTTATGAGCCCTATGACCTTATGAGCCCTATGACCTTATGAGCCCTATGACCTTATGAGCCCTATGACCTTATAGCCCTATGACCTTAGCCCTTTGACCTTATGAGCCCTATGACCTTATGAGCCCTATGACCTTATGAGCCCTATGACCTTATGAGCCCTATGACCTTATGAGCCCTATGACCTTATGAGCCCTATGACCTTATGAGCCCTATGACCTTATGAGCCCTATGACCTTATGAGCCCTATGACCTTATGAGCCCTATGACCTTATGAGCCCTATGACCTTATGAGCCCTATGACCTTATGAGCCCTATGACCTTATGAGCCCTATGACCTTATGAGCCCTATGACCTTATGAGCCCTATGACCTTATGAGCCCTATGACCTTATGAGCCCTATGACCTTATGAGCCCTATGACCTTATGAGCCC